AGTTTTTTATAAAATTGCCATAATAATAAAAGTCTGCAAAAAATAATAAGCTGAATCAAATTAGAAGATTAGAGAGCAGCACAGTCCGCTACATTGAAATGAAATGCCTTAGAATCAGTAAAGATAACTTTAGCCTAGCTTAATAGTATCTGTTATAAATTATTGGCTGCGTATCACGAGATTGGCGACGAAAGGCAAGTTGTTTCGCTAAATTTGTCTTGCTCCTATTGCGTACTCAATTAAGCCTGAATTGTATTAGCTTAGTTATTTACTATACGTACATTTATTTCTTGCACATGCTTAAAACTAATCAGTCCTGAATAAATAAACTCCCACATATACTTAATGCTTAATCTAGGGCCGACGCTAAATATCGCCTGGTGCAGTCTCTACGGGTCCTAAATTCTGCTACAAAGCACCTTCCTAAGTTCTAAATTTTCACCGCACCTAAACTTTGCATCCCAGTGCTTTCCCTAAATTATAAAAAACTTCTCATCCCTTAATTTTGCCACTTGGTGCTTCCCCAAATTCCAAAACTTTTGTCTTCCCTAAATTGTGCCGTCTGGTGCGGCCATATTCTGCTGCCGCTTCTGGGTTTATGGTGAATAACAAATCAATTATTCTGTATTAAAATAGCACTAAATGTAATCTTTTGGCCTATGAGTTTCATTAACAAAATCTATTTTTAGCATATGAAAAGAAATTTTTGTTCAATTTTTTTCTTCATCAACATTTCTTAGAGCATTTAAAAATCTATAATCATCGCCAAGCATAATGTTAGCATAAAAGGCTGCCATAGTCTTGTTATTCAATTACTAATATAAAAAAAGTTTAGACATCACTGCATTAGTTATTACTGCAGCTGCCATGTATTGATATTGATAACATGCAGTTATGAAAGCAAAGTATAATAAATAATGACTCCTCAGATCGGCATCAGGGATATAAAATAGGTGAATGTTTCGGTTTGAGATGTATGCCAAGCTGATACTTAGCTATGGAGCCAAATTATTATCACAAATTTATGCTTACATGATTGTCTTTTCATAACGAGGTATTTTATTTAATGCCTAAATGAAATTAAGAATCGGAATTTTTAAGTGAAAATCTCCACATGTTTTATTATGAAAGGAAAAATCATATGAACATGCATAAAGCATACAAAAAGAAAAAATGTTTGTGGCTTTGAGGTCTGGATTTTAGATCATTCCAGATAATGGCCGTCCAGATTTCGGACTTTGTACTGTATGTATATATATATGTATGTGAGTAAGTTAAAAATATGTTAATCAAAATTCTAAGTTAAGTTATTAATAACCCCTAATTCCCACTCTTCTAAAAACAGTGATGCCTTTTTCTGGACTGTGTAATTTCTAGATCAATCCATCACAGGTGACTTGTATAATGTTGATGATGTAACTAATTTGGAATTTGAACTCAAAATTTTGAGAACTGAAACCTTTCTCCCAGTACGCTTCCATATTGGATAACTGCACATTTTAGCTTCTACTTCTCTTCACGTTAAGACGCTATTTTGCTCTGCAGTTATCCATTGCAATAGAAAAAGAAATGTAAATGTTTTTGAATAGGCATGATCACAGTGCCAAGTAAATTGTGGCTGCAAATGTCAATTGAAAATAAGATGGATCTGCCTCGACTGCCAAGCTTGCTCTTCATTATGGATTCAGCACTCTATGCGATCAAAATTGCTATGTCTTTTTCATCATATATATAAAATCTTTATAATTTTTTAACTCTTCAAATTATGATAAACAAAAGTTATTAAGCATAAACAATGGCAAATGATCTGGAAATAGTAATCCAGTAAAAATAATGCAATGTTTACATAAAATCAAAAGATTTCACTAAATTTTCTTTCAAAATATTCATCCTAAAAATCTTTGAAAATCAATTCTTGTTTTCACCGTCCATCACTTATCTTGTCATAGAAGTTTTAACTTGCTTCTTTCCCTGCAAGTCAGGGGACAAAATGTCCCTTCCTTTATCCCATTAGTGCAGTTCTATGTCCTGTCATTTTGTTTGATGTCAGTTGGGTAGTGAGTTTTTCTTTTCTGTTTTAACTATGATATTAGCCTTTGGGGATTATTTTTAATTTTTATAATTGTACAGTAAAGGCTAGACTATCTGGCATTCAACAAACTGGAAAGCTCAAGAAATCAAAATATTTTATAAAAACTATCCCCTCCCCCCCAAAAAAAAATTAGTAAATGACAGATTTGATTTGAACACCATTATATAACTCGTTAACATATATATGTTGTCACCAAACAGAATAATTTAGAGCCAGTAATGAATAAGCATGCCATCACAACAGAGTCATAAGAAATTTGTTTTGGTTTAATGCAAACTCAATTAATTCATGATAAACAGCTATTTTTGTAAGGAAAGAAAACAAACTGCATTTTCCCTCACATTCACAAAAAAATGTTTTTGTCTGGGACAGCTTCAAGTGGAGTATTTCCAAAGTTACAGGATCTGGGCTTTAAAAAAATATCACAACTGGGAGCGTATTCCAGAGGTCCGCTGTTCGATTCCTGGCGAAGGTGTTACTCATTTTTCATCTTACCTGCTTCCAAAAATTCCTAATGTCTTTATAAGGTGATATCCCTGTCAACTTCCATGTTTGGTAGAATTTTATATTTGGATCAGATATTTTACTTTCATGTTTAAAACAAATGAAATGCTTCAGCTTAATGTCTGAAGTGTGTTTTTTTATTTCTTTGAAATCTTATATTATTTTAAATGTAGGCTTTTGATATTCAAGTTGGTAACAAATATGATAACTGATTTTATATAATCGAGATTTTTCCCATTCTAACATGAACACAACACTCAACTACTTGGAATTTTCACTCATCCAGAAATCAACATTGTCTGAGCTTTCTCGATAATGAGGCTTTTACTGTATTACTTGCTACTTTGAATTTTCCAGTTTTCCTCTTTATACTAAACCAGATTTTAGCTTTTTTAAAGCTCCTACCCATTTTAAAATTTTTACCAGGTTACTTTACTTAAAAATATTTTATTAAATTAATTTACTTTCACCATTTCTATCTAGAATCAAGGCAAAGTCAGGGGACCAATGATACTCACCAAATGATATTAGTTTTTTAACATTAAATTTGAAAAAACTGTTCAGTTCATATTTGTACACTGCACTTCTTTCAGGAATGTTGCTTTTATTTTCCATGACATTGGAATGGTAAAAATTGGATTAGTGTTATCAATCCATTTGAGATAGAGAAAAATTAAATTTAATAGAAACAGTTCTAATGTTTCTCTTCTTGTTTTCAACTTAACATATGATGGATTTTCCCCTTGCTTTAATTATAACTTTTATGTAAAACATTGTATTCTTTTTACTACATTTGCCATTGTTTATGCTTGTAATTTGTAGAGTTAAAATTATAAAAATTAAATATTGTTCTTTTAATTATTGCTGGAATTGCATAAGAATGAGACTTACTTTCTGTTAAAATTTTTTCACTCAGCAAGGATACCAAACATGACTTTATTATAAGACTTGTTTAGAAGGCATATTATCTGCAGAAGTGGTGATACAAACTGGCCTGTAAGATAATCAGATCTGAAAGCATTCTTTTTATGGGGGGAATTTAAAGAAACTTATGTTTGCTATTCCTCTTCACACACTGGATGAACTCAAAACTGCAATGTGTGAAAAGATTTGATCTGTTACTGCGGATGTACTACAGAAAGTTATGAGAAACATCCACAAGATGATATTTCTCATTTCATATAAAAAGCTGTTGCCAGAAATTTTTATTCCCAAACATTTGCTTTACTTTACTTCTTTATTGAAATCATTCTTAAAATGTGTAAATACCTTCTGTATAAGAGTTGTACCTGGGAAAAATGCAAACTGAAATGTGTCTGCTGGGTCTGTAAAATAGCTTTGGGGACTGCCATTTGGAGACCACTGTCCTACATTGCAGCATTTCGGGGCGCCATGCGCGCACCATTTGTGTTTATGGATGACAATGCCCGTCCTCACCGTGCAAACATCGTAAGCGAATGCCTTCAATCGGAAGATATCACCCGTATGGACTGACCAGCATTCTCATCGGACTTGAATCCAGTAGAGCACGTGTGGGACATGCTTGGCCGACGAGTTGCAGCCCGTTAACCTTCTCCTACATGTCTACCGGAACTTCGGAGAGCACTGCTTTTTGAGTGGTGTAATATCCCCCAAGATCAGATCGATAATTTGATACTCAGCATGCCTAGGCATTGTACGGACTGTATTGCATCATCTGGGAGACATACAATGTATCAACAATCATACCAACCATGTAATATTGTTTTTTTGTAAATAAGTTTTTTTTTTGTAATTTGCTCCAGGGAGAAAAAATCGCTATTTTTTTTAATATCAAACATATAGCATCTTTTTTTTGCTCTTTACCTTTTGTTTAATAAATAAACTTTACAAATAAGTCAAATTTGTTTTGCTTCTAATTCTTCCTTTGTATGATTTTGCATTATCCTTAATTTATGGACATGAGTGTAAAATTACTTTCAATGCTTAGAATTAAATGCATATTGGTATTAAATGAAATATTTATTTTAACACTGACACAGGAATCACATTTTCATAAAAATAGAAAATGCAAATAAGTAAAACATAATTACATACTCAATATCTTACTGTATTGTACTTTGATAATATTAAGTTAAATAGAAGCAAAAATTACCACTTTTCGCTAATAAGTAGAATATGGCATTGAAATATCTTAAGAAGGGCAGCTGAAGTTAATCTTGAATGCAAATTATATAAGCATGATTTTCACCAATAGAAGTTAGGTAAAATGAAACGTAAAAACACACAGTGATATTTTTATATGAAATGAATGATATAGAAAGCTTTATATATAAAGAAATTATACATGATCACAAACAATTAAATAACAAATAATTAAATACAAATAATTAAGTAAATCATACAAAGCAGTCACTTACTGTACCTTCTGTTCCCAACAATATATTATCAGGCTGAAAATCCCTAAAAAAAAAAAAAAAAAAAAAAAAAAAAAAAAAAAAACTATTAAACATCCTACATTTGGAATTTGATTTAAGATGGAGAAGGCAGAATTAAAATACACTAAAAGTTTTATTTATAATAATTCTTAATGTTAAAAACTAACATAATATAAATCAGTTTTCTGAAACTCAGCTAATTGAAAATATATTTCTGGCTATCAAAATTGCTACACCAAGAAAGTGGTATGCAACAACTGTCAAATTTAAATGCTGGGATAAGCAAATAATCAGCATTCTAAATGCACACAAAGTAGGCATGAGTAATGCTATCTACAATGTGTATAAATGGGAAGATTACAGTGGGTTTTTCATCTGGAAATCACATTTAATCATTTTACATTATGTCTTGTGTAAGAAGGAGAAACTCCTACCAGCATGCATTGGAATTTGACCATGGCAGGACTGTAGTCTATCAAAACTGCAGTTTATCATTCTGTAACATTGCTGCTTGTGTTAGTTGATATCCCATAGTTGTCAGGTGAATGTGGAATTGATGGGCCATACCGAATGCCATGAAGGATCTCAGAAGCCCCAGACCACTAATGTATGAAAGAACAGATATGCTGTCTACCTTGCCTTGCAGGATCGTACAGCTATGCCAGAAACTTGAGTCAAGAACGTGAAGGATGATAAACTCTCACATGGACTATTTTACTATTTGTTTTAGTATATGATGTCTGTAGCATCATGGAACTATCAGCAGATCAACCATTGTTGCAGTTTCACTCGATACTGCAGTAGAAAGAGGCATAGTGAATAGTGCAACAAACTATGTTACAGGACATACGGCCCAACAATATGTTTTTAAACAAATTATGGTTTTACATAGTGCAACGAACTATGTTACAGGACATACGGCCCCACAATATGTTTTTAAACAAATTATGGTTTTACATACAGCATTATGATGGACATATCCACCAGTGAAGGCAATGAGGAGAAAGAATGTTCCCAGATAGCATTCGTCATCGTCATATGGCCCAGCATCTGGTACCTTGTATAGGGAGGTACTAGATCTACCTGCTGGTCACTTCTTGTTTGCACAGCTGCCATTACATTTCTGATGTGTTAAGGCCCAACATATGTGTGTGGGGGTGTGATCTGTAGCACTACATTTTTTAATGCTCCACTGCAAAAAATCTACACCTTAAAAAACCAAATCAGAATCTAGATGTATTTTTAAGATATGCAATAACAAATAAACACCTTCAAAGGAAAATAAAAAAAATAATCAATAATCTAACAGCAAAAGGACAAGAACTATGTACTCCCAGATATTTATCTATTATAAGTAAATAGTTGTACAAATGCAAAATATATTAAATTTCAAATCAATTTATAATCACTACTGCATGTATCACAATGGTACGTAAAATTGAATTAATCCATGTTCGATTGTAATAATAGACCTTAGCAAACTATGTGGATACATATTATGTGTAATTTATCAAAATATATAAAAATATGTGTTAGGTACCTCAAAACAAAATCCTTAAACAAACTGTATGTAGAAATATGCTACATGTAATAAAGACAGCTTACATGAACTGTATGTAAAGCAGAACTGATTGAAAAAACTGTAGAAATTCAATTTACAAAATAGTGTATCAAACAAAAATATTGAAGCAATCATAGTTCAAGAGACAATAATATGTAACAACTGCTGTACCACTTTGGTGTAATATTTAACTATCACCATGCACATGGGATAACGTAACTACTCACAGCAATAAATAAAGCATACCAGACAAGCAGATGACTCCCCAGACATGCTGTGACAATAGTAGTGCCTACGGTGCAGATGTGTTCAAGCACCTGGAGGTACCTCAGGGCCCTTCAGGGTGCAGGTTGTTTAGAATAGTTTGGGAAGGGATAACATCTGGATCTCTTGTTGCTAAATATTTGGTGTCCTTTCTACTTATACCACTACTTGAGGCTCACAACTGTGTTTTATCTTCAAGGCCTGCATGATGCCATCTTTCAACAAGATAATGCATAATTGCATGTTGCCTCTTACTGTCTTGATTTTCCTCAATACAGAAGATGTTCAGCTATTGCTGCTGGCCAGCTCTTTCTCCAGATCTCTCACCCACTTAGAACATCTGGTGATGGGTTACCAAGAGATTAACACACCATCACTTGTAAGCTACTACACTGACGGACTTTGGTACAGAGTTGAAGTCCCATGGAACAAAGTACCCATATCTGTTATCCTAACCTAGTTTGATTTAATGCCCAGCTAGATTACTGCCAGAGGATGGCTGAGGAAGTACCAGCTCTGTGTACTGAATTCTGTAACCAAATCACCAAATAATTAATCTTGTCTTCCTCCTATCATACTGTATATATGCAATAAATAAGATTCTGTTATTTGCTTTCCTAACAAGGTGGTTGAGGAGGTACCAGCTCTGTGTACTGAATTCTGTAACCAAAAATTTAATCATGTTTTTTCCTATCATATTGTGTATGTGCAATAAATAAGATTCTGTTATTTGCTTTTCTTCCTGGTATAGCAAATTTAATGGCAGTATATTACTACTTAAAAATGTAACTTGCACATTTTATTTAAAATGCAGGTATTGTTTCCCTAGAGAATATTATATAATATCTGTTCATAATTTTTTCATGCTGTTAAATATATAAAATATAGAATGGTAGCTGGTATAGTGAATAAATATGAAATTTTAGTATGCTATAAATCCAACAGATTTTTAATATCCCTTTCATCTAATAGTGTGCATTTTGGCAGACTCTTTGTCACTAACTTGTAGAGTCATTAGGATTTTTGGAAGCAGAAAAGATGAAAAATTAGCAATCGCCTTCGCCGGGAATCGAACCACGGACCTCTGGAATACCGGCCCAGTGTGCAGAATCACTACACCACGAAGGACGCTAGGGAAGTGGGAGAACTACCTTATAAACTTGTATGGCAAAATACAACAGCTGGCAAAATTTTTAGAGTTTTCATAATGAATTTAAATAACAAATTAAACTTTAGCTTGAAAAACATTTGACAACCTATTTATCACTGTCTAAGAGTTGCTAAAATTGATTAATGGCAATTAAACATTTTTTCATTGTCAATTAAGTTTTTGCATATTCAGATTTTCATAACATTTGAATACTTAAATATACCTAAGCTCACATTTGAAGTTTATATTTCATAAAACAGTAACAGAAGAAATTTCTTTAAATCCTACAAAACTGGCAAGACACAGGCCTGCTGGAAGATTTTATTTCCAGTTAGAAAGACAGACACCATGTAAAAATGCAACTGATCCACAATTAAGCTCAGATAATTAGATAGCTTTCATAGTTTGTTCTACCACAATTTACGATAATGAGAATGTACCCCAAAGCACAATACTGCCACTGCCAACCTGTGTATGACCTGCTCTAGAGGGGGGAAGCAACTGTTTAGCTGGAAGATGGGGTAACCTGACATGACCATTAACATGATGAATGAGAAATCCTGATCCATCCACCCATACAACTGCCTTCCACTTATCCATGGTCCAGTGTTGATGTTCCCAGTCCCACTGTAGGTGCAGATGACAATGATGCTTGGTCAACAGAGGCATATGAGTGGGATGTCTGTTAGTCTCATATCCAACAGTGTCTTCTGAATTTTGTGTTCGTAAACACTTGCATTCTATTGAGCCATCAACTGAGCTGGCACCGATTTTGCTGTACCAAGCACGACGGTCTCTAATATTCCTTTTCTTTGATGATGCATGGACATCCAACACCTTGGCGTCTACTGCTGCTTTCACTACCATTTATCCACTTTGCATAAATATTAACAAAGGCAGATCGTAAACAACCTACAGTCATGCAGTTTCGGAGATACTCATTCTGAGTCTTTAAGCCATTACAATCTACCCTCTATCAAATTTGCTTCGATCAGCAGCTTTTCCCATCACTTACAAAAGTAAGTGCATGAATGATTCCTTACCTTCTCTAGCAGCAGTTAAATACCATTCCCACTTAATCATGTGCCCTCCACATCATCCAGATGAGTTCATTGAAAAATGTGTGGATTGTCATAATGTTTTGGTTTGTCAGTGCATATGCATACATATGGCTCTAAATTACATAAGCTGATAGTGAAACTAGATTACACCCAAACATTTGATCTTATCTGCAAAAAAACATTTTCATACAGATGCTCATTTTTACAATGTAACAATCACCTTTTTTGTTTACTACGATTCAGTGCCTAAGGGTCTTAAATTTGATGTGTATAATAGTTCTTAAAAATTTATAGTATATACTTAATGTAAGTGAACTGTACTAAATCCAACATCATAATATAAGGAGATAAATATATTTATAGCTATTTTAAGGTATAGATAGTTTTCTTTAAAAATTGATTTTTTTTAAAAAAAGGTTCTTTCTCCTTAAAAGTAAAAGAAATTTTACTACTGATTTACATACTTTTCATCGCAGTCAATAAAATACAAATGCAAACATTTAATTTTTAACACAGATATTTTGGATTAAATTAATTATATCAAAATTAAATAGCAGTAAGCAAAACAGAAAGCAAAGTGTTGCTCAGTAATTTACTCATAGCATCATAGCATTGATTACTTAATTTAACCCTTTCCATCGCTTTGTGTTCGGTGTGAACACACCAAAAATATTCACTCGTTAGACACTGAAAATAATCTATAAATATCACGAAAACTACACTAATGGTTACTTAATCTCTTTTATGAATAATAGATGGCAGCATGACACAAGCAGATCATTAACGTTGAGATATATTCTGTTTTTAAAGACACTGATTTTTCAAAGAAATGTTTGATTTTTTGTTTAAAATATAAAGAATATATAAAAAAATCTTTATATAATTTTTTTGTTCGTATGCTAATCTGCCTGGGAAGCCCGGTGGCGCAGTGGCTAGCGCATCGCGTAGCAGCACCACTGGTCCGGGGTTCGATCTCCGGGCTGGGCAAGGTTGACTCAGCCTTTCATCCCTTGATTTCCATCCTTTGAGTCGATAAAATAAGTACCAAGTTTGCTTGGGAACTAAACACTGGGGGTCCTGCGACAAGCTGACCCCTTGTTCAGGGCATATGCTTACGCACCCCGGGACCCACGGTCAAGAAAGCAGATTTCGGGGCACTGCGGGCTGTTACGACATTGAGTTTTTTTTTTTTTTTTTTTAAAGTTTTTTATGCTAATATGCCTATTCTGTATTACTTTTAATTTTTATCTTTGAGATATTGCATATAGTGAAGCTTTCAGTGTATGGTGTGTTCAGACTGAACACACTGTACTGGTAGCGCCTGTGACATGGGAGTTAATCACAGAATCTGGTCTTGTGCTTCAAACATGGGGTAGGCTGAGAGTGCAGATTTATTTATATTTGTTTTTATTCCTTTCTGTTTTAGGTTTTGAAGACCCCGGTGCTTTGTTTTCACTTAGCTATTTGATTTTCAGTGAGGGCAGACCCTTTTTCTCTTGCTTTCTTCGTGCATAGTTTGCTTAGTTTTGATTTCTGTAGATTTTTATTTAAATATATATTTAATGATTATTTTTTTCTAGTCAATAATTAATTGTAAATATTATAGTATTTTAATTATTTTTCTTATAAATTTTAAAATTTTGTAAATGGCTCGGAGAGGCCTCAGCATAGCTGAAGCAATGAGAATTTCCTTTTTTTTCTGGGGAGGGTGTAGAGTAGCAGGCCTTCCCGTGGTGCACCCTGGGTTATGCTAAATCTGCTACAGAGATCAGATTAGACCGTTTTTAAATCATAGACAAAGTATTTTACTGTAATACGTGCTTCACAGCAATGCTCAACTATCGCAGCTCGTGCGGCTCAGTGTGTTCGCTTCGGACACACCCACAAAATGGAAACGGTTTGTGCAATCTTTGTAAAATTATACTTGCATATTCTCCTAGGCCTAAATAGACTGCCTACAAAATTTTTTTTTTTTTGTCAAATTAAAACTTTAAAGAGTAGCGTGCCGGAAAGGGTTAAAATGAGAAAAACATTTATTTAATGCTATTTGGTGTCACTTGTAATATGGCAGCATTAAACTTGATGCCGTACTGACTGATCAGTCAATATGGCTTTAAAATATAAAATGAGTAAGAGTAAAGTAAATGTTTCTTACATCCATATAATTCCTAATTTGTGCAATGAATCCAAAGCTACTACTATTTCTGCAGCCCATAGATAAATGCATGATTCAGGTAAATGGATAGGTTTAGATGATGCCTTTAATACAGCTTCATCCATAGCATCAAATGCTTCAAGATGACATGTTTTTTGAGACAGTGCACTTTCTAAACTACCTGTAGATGATGACAAACGGTTACGAGAATTTCTCTGTTGCTGATTATTCTTTTTATTTTGAACATTTGCCTCCTAGTTAGAACATAAATGAAAATAGTTAATTTTTTATACATATAATTTCAAATCAATTACACGAATATTTCATAATTTGTAAAAACATTACTTTATATTGTAATTAAATAATAATACTAATGACATATACATTTTTTGACAGTAATAAAAAAAAAGGAAAAACATTTGGAAGGAATAATCTTTGCATGGTGAAAATCAGTAAGGTACACAAATAAGGGAAGCAATCTTCTTTATGATCTCAGAGAAATTACGATATTTAATTGGATAAAGCAACTACAAAAGTGGAAGAAATTGTAATGTCATAGTGCAACTTTTGTCTTAAACGGTTTGAACTAATGTGCCTCAAGGTAATATCCATGAATAGATAAAAAAACTGACTACTCAGATTAACAGTCTGGCAACATTTTGGCAATCTTAGAGGTACAATAGTCACATCACGCACAAAACATATCCAAAGATGGAGTAACTGAGCAGCCATGAGAGAACATAAACACTACAGAAGAAGACTTGAAAGAATTTTTTTGCTATCAAAGTATACTCCCAGTCTGTCACTTCTGATGTAGAAGGTTTATGACTTTCCACAATAAAGACAGATTTCATGCTATCTACAGACATATAAGCAAGGACCACTGATTTCAAGTGAGAAATATAACACATTGTTGTAGATTGCTATTAGCTAAACTCATGTTATTCAGAGCAGATAACACTGCAAATAGTGTCAATCACATGCATTAAATATCAGTACATGATGAAATGGCCTCAAGAACTACAAACATGCTATACAAGTCATCTCATAACTAGTCTATCATAAAGTCTCATTCTATATCCATGTCATTAAGAGGCACACTACCAAAGGCTTTAGCATGATCTGATTTTTCCCTCAACCCCCCAAAAGGCAAAAAGTATAAATAAACAATCTAGCATGAACAATTTTTATATTTTGATAGGAGAACAATTCTGACAATTATGATTTCTCATTATTTTTGTTCTTATTCTCCTACTATGTTGTACCTATTAAAATTAAAATATCAATGATTAATGATCATTGGTAAATAGAAACAAATAAATACAACACCTAAATTTTGATATACCATAAAATATTTCTGCCTGAAATTATAACACTCCATAACATATATATATATGTAAGATAAAAATATATGAATCAGAATTATAATATAACTATAAACATTAATTCATCCTCTCTATTCTAAAATCGTAATAACTTCTTTTCATTGCATCATTTCTAGATCACTCTATGATCGGCGCAGCTCTGATGACGTAATCATTGGGAACTGAAACTGTCCTTGTAAACCAAAACTTTTCTCTTCGCGTGCCTCCATCTTGCATAACTACGCACTTCAACTTTTGCTTTCTACTGGGCTAAGATGTAATTTCGCTGGCTTGCTTTCTATCCCAACAATATCAAAAATGTAAATCTGTGGAAAGACACGACTAGAGTGCCAAGTGATTGTGGCCACAAATACCAATTGGAAATAAAAATGGAATTAAAACTGCCTCGACTGCCAAGTTCTTTAAATACTACGCAATCAAAATTCTTCTTCAATATGAATCTAAGCACAGATCGACACTGCTCCGCATTTTCCTTTGTGCTGTAATATGACAATTAAGTCGACAGGATTCGAACCTGTGCGGGGAAACCCCAATGGATTTCGAGATTCTTCAATATGGGTCTAATCACGCATCTACTGTGTTCCGTCTTTTCCTTGTTTTGCTCATATTATGACAATTAAGCCGGTAAGGATAGTTTCCTGCAGCCTGAAACCTCAATAGAAAATTTAATTCAGCTCTTCAAATCATCGTCTTGTGATAAATCCAAGATAATGTGACAGAAGTGAATCATCAAGTTTGTTTTTTCAGTGTTTAAAAAATAACAGATCATTCTTCTGCTGTGGTGCAAGTGCTTAAAAAAAAAAAATAATCACGCGTAGTGTTTACAGATTGAAAGTGATCTCTCGATAAATTGAGAAGTTCGAATGCCTAGTGAAAAGGAAATCATCAGTGAATTACCGTTTAGGAATTGAGCATTACAGCGGGTTCAAGGTTGATCTGAGTTGGTGTTTGCAAGTATGTGCAACAGAAAATTATTTTCACTTCCGCGTTTTCAACAGCTCAAAAATTATTACATTCGTGTGAATCTAGCTCAGGAACTAAATTATTTAATGATCTGCGGATTCTATAGTTTTCATTTCAACTTTGGTTAAAATTTTCTGCAATTTGTTTTGAGAAAATCTGAAATTCTTGTTTATTAATTTTGCTGATTTTTCATAATTATGTGTGAGAAAATTAGGTAACGAATTTTAAGCTATTTAAATTACTCATAGGGAAGGATATTAAGATAAGTTTTTATGTTTTTGAAATTTTGTTGAGAATTTTGAATACGAATTTTATAATTATTCTAAAAATAAAGATGTTAAAAATAAGTGAAATTATTACAGATATGTAATATGAAGTTATGGTAAATGCATGTTAAAATTTATGGGTGATTGTATGTTAAGTATAGCGTATGTCGAGGGAGTATTGGTTCCTTCAACAGAGGCCTGTTATTACCTCTGTACAGTTGTTCCTTTTACCCTCTTCATGCAAGATAATGTTGGAGGCTCTCATTTTATGAGTGTTTGTAATTTTTTTATATTATTATTATATTTTTTTATTATGGAATGTATTAGTGCAGTTCTCAAAGGCCAGTTACCTTAATGCAAGGAACGGAGGCCTTTTCAAGTAACTGTCTAGGCACCCTGGGCCACCAGTGCAGAGGACACACTGGTTAGCTCAAGAGGACAGCCCTATTGATGGATATGTTTGTTTAGAAGTATTGCGAGGCTTCCAGTTGGTAAAATACAGGAATTGTAAATGAAAGATGATAACAGTGAAACCATAAATTCTGAAAATCTTAATCCTATTATTTATGATGTTAAATTATAACTTATCAGTATAAAAATAAGTATCATAAATATTTATGTGCATTGCATTTAATTATAAGTAATGATTATGTAAAAGTTTATTTTGTGAGATTCTGTAATAACAAGAAACTTCCCTGAAGAATTATGATTATGTGAACTCTCAAACAAAAAGACTTTTGGACTGAAATGTTGAAAAATTCAATAGGACTCTAAAAATTAAGAATCTATTTAAAAAAAAATTGATATTTATAAATAATACTTTACAGGATCAAAATTTTATTATTTATTTATATTTTTTTTTAAATTTGCTTGTGCTTTAATTCTTCTCTGTCGCTACGCCTTTTTCTTTTTGAAGGGGGGAATATGTAAGATAAAAATATATGAATCAGAATTATAATATAACTATAAACATTAATTCGTCCTCTCTATTCTAAAATCGTAATAACTTCTTTTCATTGCGTCACTTCTAGATCACTCTATGATCAGCGCAGCTCTGATGACGTAATCATTGGGAACTGAAACTGTCCTTGTAAACCAAAACTTTTCTCTTCGCGTGCCTCCATCTTGCATAACTACGCACTTCAGCTTTTGCTTTCTACTGGGCTAAGATGTAATTTCGCTGGCTTGCTTTCTATCCCAACAATATCAAAAATGTAAATCTGTGGAAAGGCACGACTAGAGTGCCAAGTGATTGTGGCCACAAATACCAATTGGAAATAAAAATGGAATTAAAACTGTCTCGACTGCCAAGTTCTTTAAATACTACGCAATCAAAATTCTTCTTCAATATGAATCTAAGCACAGATCGACACTGCTCCGCATTTTCCTTTGTGCTTTAATATGACATATATATATATATTAATTTTAATTTATAAGTTGGAACAGAATGAAACAGACATAGATTTTTAGGAATTCAGTTTGATAAAAACACAAAAATTTTGAATTTGTAATGAATAATTCTGAACTAAAGTTTTAAAATTATATTAAAAAACTGCATTATAAGTATTCTAATAATTTTACCTGCCCCTTAAAAAAATTAATGACAGTCAATATACATTCTTGTTAAGATTTTCAAATTTTCTTTTAAATTTTGGAAGCATGCAACATTTTAACAATGATACTCTCTGCTTTTGTATTTTTTATTTATATTCTTTCATAGAATTCAATTCAGAATAATTCAAATTCTTTTTAGATATTATAGTAACAACTGAAACTTTTTAAGATAAATTTCTAGTCACTTTGAACTTTAAATGAATTCTCTCCCTCTTAACCTGAGAATTTCACTTGAAATTATAATTAAGATTTCATTTTATTTATTCTCTCCTGGAATCCAATAGAACAACTTTTGAGTAAACGGGGTATTTGTCTTTATGTGTAACACAGATATTAGCCAGTTTTCCTTAGAAACAACTCCCTGAAAGCACCAATTTTAATGTAGGCATTTCTCAAGTGTTTTAAAATATTAACAGGTTAAATAGTTCAAAAATTAAAAAAAAATTAAATAAAAATTTCATAATAAAGTGCAAGGTGAACTCCTTGAAAAACATATTAAAAAAATACTTTTTTATAAAGTTTGTATGCAGTTTCACTTACATTTTTATCACAATTATCAGCATCACTGGATACACAAAGGGTTTTAGAATCATGGAAAGTCTTTTCATTATCCGAGTATTTTTTTAAGTGGCTTTTTTCATTACAAGGCATAGGCGGATATCTTCGATATTTCGCAAGAGCAACCTTCTCTTCTTTGTCAGATGTAACAGCATACTTTTTGAACAAAGCAACATAACTTGAAGGGCTAATTTTTGAAGCTACAAGATCAGAATCAACAGATTTAACAACATCTGCACTCTCAGCAGAACTTCCATCTGATATTTTTTTCCCGGAATACACATTGCAAAGCCCAGTTTTGTTTCTAGGTTCTATATATAAATATGCATCTTCATTATATGGTGATAAAGGGCTTCGTTGTAAATATGAGCTGACATAATCCCATAAACGACCACCAGTAGCGTGCTCCAAAACAATAAATAATGCATAATTAGTCTCATAAATCTGAAATATTTTCACCATAAAGGGTATGTTCTGAGGAATTATGTGAGAATTATTCATATTTCTTGGGCTAGAACTTTTATACAATGTCTGCAAAGAGAACAATGTCCATAAATAAAGATGGTTAAATTACTTGTTTTAGAAAAATATTTAATAATGCATTAAATGAACAAAGTAAAAAATAAAATCAAACTTCTTGCTCTTAAAATAAACATTTAAAGAACTAAGGAATAAAATATCTGACTTGCAGCTACTTGTTGACAGGTAAAAATAATTTTTGTATTCCTGACCTAATTTTGAATTTTATTTAAGACTTTGAATTAATATTGCTATGTTATTAAATTCATATTTTGGTAAATTAATGCAAAAATTTGTATGAAATAAAAGCAAGATTTTCAAGATCAAGATTCATATTTAAAGATTGATCAAGAATGAAAGTGATCAAGATTTTCATATTCAAAACAAACTGACAGTATGATGAAGCATTTCAAACCTAAGATTTTAACAAATGAATTTTATATAGTTAATACTACAGATATAAATTCAGTAATAATATGAATTTTCCACACATATACAAGTATTTAGGAATAAACATACTGTTAAAAAAATTTCTTTAAACTAAAGTTACATATATTCACAAATACACGTATTCTGCATAATTATACTTAAAAGTATAAAAATATTCCAACCATCATAAACATTTTGAAATTAGAGTTTAGTTCCTTATTTTAAATGGAACATATCAAGTAATTAAATTTTGTTATTTGGATATTATATTTATTTGGATCTCTCTTATTGACACCAATTTTTAATCAATTATAGTAACTCCCCCCCCATATCTAAATCAATGGTGTCCAACTGGTTTTCCCTTAAGGACTACTTTTAAATTTCTACTGTCCCTCATCAGCACCTCAGGTTTTTATGTTTGGAAAATAACAGGTTCATGAAAATATGTGATTTCGCTGGATGATTTTATGCTCCCCTCCATAAAAACAACTATGGGGAAACTAATACGAACATACAAACTGAACAAAAACCATTAATAAAATGCATACATAGTTAAGGTTCAAACTAATTTATGCATAATAAACTATTAATACAACAAAATGTAATGCTTAAATTTTCAAATATCTCATTAAGTCAGCAGTGCATTACATCATTAACTTGCTATTAATGAGATATTTGATTATTAATTTTCTGTGACAACTTATTAAGTATTTAGCCCACATTCTGGTACATAGCATAGCTGCACCATGTTGTTTTTCACATGTTCCGTATTCAACATACCTCTGTATTTGCTTTTTTTATTATAAGTTGTGAAGAAATCTGTTCACAGAGGTATGCTGACCCATAAATGCTTTTACTGTTGGAGCAAAAACAAAGTATGCTTTTGTATTTAAATATGGTCTATTAGTTTAAAAACTTTGTCACTTTTATTTTTCTCTCTTTTTGAGTGTCATATCAGCACAAAGAGTAACAATCTGTAATACAGCTTGCAATTGGTTAATAAAACAAAATTTTTTCATTGAAGAAGTTATTTCTATTATTTATAATTACAAGAAAGGATTTACATTCTAAGAAGGTTTTCACCATGCTTAGATAGATCCTATTTCAAAGTAAATTCCTGGTTCAATGAGGACAAATGACGGAAAATGTTAACAATCTTTCTCCAATAAGTTGTTCTTCCACAAATCAATTTTAATTAAAAAAGCAGATATTAAGCTTATCATTTCCGATATGTGTTTTACCTTTCCTTGTAATGGTATGTGTAACCTTGTTCCTCCGATATGTGTAGCCTTTACTTGTGGTACTTGCATCTTGGAGTTTTGTACTGATATCAGTTTAAAATACCACATTAGCAAACCATTCCTCATTTCTCAATTTTCGGACAAAAATGGTCTTTGGATATGAGATAAGTTTTAATCTCTGGCAGCATTCCAACAAATCTTGTTAAAACTTTTCTTTAACTCAGCCACCTTACTTCTGCATGTTAAATTATATCAGCCCACTCAATATCCAGCTCATCAAGCAAACTTTAGTCGATGGTTTAAAGGCCGTCCTCGGATAAAATTTACAATGCGTATTGTTACAAAATGTCCAGGCGCGGTAAGATAGCTTCCCTGCAAAGCAGGTTTAGGATTGCCATAAAATGGCAAGGGAAGGCAGGGTTGCCAAATTTGGCGACAAAACTGGCAATAAGCCATGGACGGATGGAGAACCTTCTGGAACAAATTCTAACTGGTTTAGCCCAGAATGTTTTTGAACACAAACCAAAAACTATATAAACCCTGCTGGTACGTGGAGAGTCAGTGCGAGATAGTTAGTCTCGAGTTAGTCAGTCCGTGCGGAGTCGATCCAGTTAACAGCCTGGCAGTGAGTGCCGAATGGGTTGTTGAGTGCATCGAAAGAGTCTTTTAGTGTATCATGGTTAGTCGAGAGAGTGTGCTGAGCTCCAGGAACAACTGAACCGAAGAGTCGGGAACTGTGCTCTGTGTAACATCGAGTGCATCGCGAGTTGTAGCGTGGAGAGACTAGAGTACGTGGAGTTCCGAGAATGACCAAGCAGAGTCGGGAGATGTACTCTGGTACTTTGCAGTGAAGCTGTCACCACCTTTATTGCCTGATAATCTGAAGACTGTGTTGCTGATTGTTCCAGCAAGTGTATAGTAGATCTTCAACGACTGTAAAACATGACTTTGGAGCTGTACTGATTAATATTGGCTAAATAAACTGCGTTTTGATACTTCAAGTGTCGTCGTTATTCACTCCAAATCTACGAACCCCATACGAATGTGAAAGAAGAAAATAATGCAACAATATAATAACAGTCATTATGTGATTGAGGTTGAATTTTTAGTGGCCAGATTTTCTTGATGAAAAATGCAGTGGTATGAATTAAATTTGGAAAATGTGTCATCCCGCTTACAAAACACAATAAACCCAGTATTATTTATAATCATAGCTGGTGCACCTTTGGTTGTCATTGCAATGAGTTGTTTTATTGGCACATTTTCTTCAATAATACAGTTTTTAATTGCATCATATATATTTTGTCAAATATGATCAATAATGCTTCTTTCAGAAAGAAATCAGGAAACACTATTCTCATGAATATCAGAAGTTGATTTATTAATAAATGATTATAAATGATTTAAGCTAATTTCCTCTCTTTGCTTATTTTCTTTTAAAATATATGCATATATTTTCAGCAACTTTTTTATTCATAACAAAATGGGAGGGAGGAGGAAGAATATTCTGTATTTTATTTTCATCAGACATTTTAATTTATATAAGTAACATTCTGCAGAATTCCTTAAAATTTTATCCCAAGGAAATATATGTTTCAAAATTCAGTAACTATTCATTTTACATGTTAAATAATATTAAATTTATATGCTAGTTTTACTACATACACATGTTATAAACAATTTGTAGCAAACAAATGAGTAGTTCGGGTACAAATGGACATGGGCAAGTATCAATGCAGGACTGGAAAAAATAACATTATATAAACTTTCAAAAATGGTTTTTAAAAGTAGTGTATTTAATAAAAGGTTACCTTTACAACATATGTACAATTATTGGAGATATCCAAAACCAGAAGAACCTTTCCCAAAATTCCCAGTACTTTATATTTACTTAGATCTTGAACAGAGCCTTTAAGACTGATTACTGTTAGGGTAGGAGACTCAGACAAAGGTGAAGGTACCTAACAAGATAAAAACAGAGATGCATTACATAAATACATTGTTGTCTTTGCAGTTCAATAAAAAATTGAACTAATGTGAGCTACCTACATGAATAAAATAATGAAAAATAAATAAATAAAATGAGATTGATGGTTGAGTTGAAATAGAAAAAATCTAATTAAACATTAACTTTTATTGTAACTCTTTCATAATGTTTCAATAAGAAACAGAAGGTTTTCTTTCTTGTTATAATAAATTTATTAGAATTTGTTAAATATTTTTAAGAGGAAAAGATTTTATATAGACAAATATCACAATCAAAATATGGCTAAAAATAAATGTGCATATTTACAGAATACATTAATGCTATTTTATTTTAAATGATTACTAAGAAAGCAGCACACTATTTTTTTATTCCTTTCCCACATTTCTTTTAAAATAAATTGTATATGTACAGCTTTATTTTGCAGTTTTAGAAGCAAATTTTTATTTGTTTATGGTACACAATACATAAAAGAAATTCAATTTTATAGGCCAATTTTACACATGTTGAATTTAATACTGTGTCTGTAATTTCAGTTATGTCAATAAGCATTATTGCCTTTGCAATTGGATTCAGGTTTAACAACTAATTTTACAGATTTTCTTTTCTGCACTATAAGTGACATGCACTGCAATCTCTATAATGAGAAAGCACTGAATGGTGACACTTCAGTGCGAGTTATTAAATATTTCACAGGTTTAAAACGTTTGTTCATTGTGCATGAAAGAAAAATGTATTAACTTTCAGAAAATATATCAATTTTTTTAACAATAATTTTGCCATCAAATTAAATATAGAGATCTAAATCTTAGTTAGTTACTTAGTTATTCTTGCTGAATAACTAATGATTATAGTACGCAGATGAATACATATTTTCTTTACTTTTTCATCTGCCACACTTTGAAGCAAATCAAATATATATATATATCCAGATTTTAGTAAATTTCATTATTCTTGCTAGATAACTAACCACTAATTGAAGGCAGATGAACATAAATATGTGTGTGTATGTGTAAAATAAAAAAATATGTAAATCAATGTTCTAATTTAAATTTGCAATAGCTTCTTAAGTCTTCAATTTAATTTATATATTTTCTCTTTTTGTTCTAAAAAATAGTAACTGTTTATAATAAACATCTGGACTGCCAGTTCTAAATTAATCTATGTCATATGACTTTTATATAAAGGGGTGACATTTTGTGAAAGGAAATTCAATCAGCCGATAATAATTTTAGAGTGTTACTAATCAGACAGTTAAATGGTATCAAAATAATTCATTTTGAACTAAGATTTTGTTTCAAACAAATGGTCCAGCATCTCTTGCCAATAAGGTACTACCCTACTGGTGTCTTCTAAATGCAATAATTTCAAAAATGTAAATGCTCTGCTCTAGAACATGCACCCAAGTTATTTGTTACCACAAATGTAACTTAAAATAAAAATGAATATTTAAATCTACCAATCATCTACCTTTAACGAATGTAAATTATTACATGTACAAACTCTGTCCAGAAAGTTCGTGAATGTGACTATAGTTACAAAGGATTTTTGTTTTACATAAGAGAGCTGTTACCATCCTTTGAAGTAATCCCCACTCCTGGTAATGCACATCTGAGAATGGCTGTACAAGTTCTGGAAACTCCTGGCATAGTCGTCTTAAGGGAATGGCCTTCAGCTGGCTCATAACATTATGCTGGATGTCTAAAATGCCCAAAAACTTCTGACACTTCAGGGATGATTTCAATTTGGGGAGCAAGAAAAAGTCTGGTGAGCAGAGTGGGTGATTCAGAGACACAATGCCCCTGTTGGCCAGGATCCTCTGCACTAGAGAGGCAGTGTGTGGCCTAGAACTGTTGTGGAGCAGGATCCAGTTGCCTTCCTGGTGAACTGGGTACTGGGGTATTGATGTACTGGGGGTCGCACTTCATCCATTGCAGCAGATGTTTTGGTATTTCCATGTATGTAGCGGCATTTGACATGCTGCCCTCAAGGAAGAATTGTGATGGACCTGTTATGGCACCTCAATATGGATGAGACACTTGAGAGTCAACAAACATCAAAAGAATTGTCTTGATGCAGGATTCCTCATTTTGAAATTTCTTGCTTTTCGTCGATTCTGGATCTCCCCACTTTATACTCTCACATCTGCCTTCGGAGTCGAGTCTCAGGCGTCAGGTCTCGTCATCTGTGATGACTGTTTTCAGGAAATTTGGATTTCAATTTGCTGTGTCAATGAGGTCTCCACAGCCATCAAGCTGAAGCGTCATTCGATCTGTCATGAAAGTACTGGCCACGAGTCCGGAGCAAAGCTTGCATTTACCCAAATTGTGGGTTACTATGAGGTAACCATCTCCCCTCATAGTAACCGTCTAAAAAATTGATGAAAGCAATAACTTTTTTAGACATGACCAAGATGACTATGAGAGATATAGCTTGAAGTTACTGTGTAGTAGATAACCCGTTCCCACTTCTCCCACTATCATTCATACTGTCACATGACAATCCTGGGCAAAAATTCCTTCACTTTCTGTATGCTGTCCAGGATGAGTGCCATAACAGGTTGACCACTTCGGGGAAGGGGGTTCAATGCTGTCCCGCCCTTGTCAGAAGAGTTCAAGCCATTCACACACACACTTCAACATAACAGCACATAAATTGTTGTCTGCATTTCATGAGTCTCTTTTGCTGATTTTCCAAGTTTAACAGAACAGCATATTCATTTGTTGATGCATTTTGAGTTTCAACTGTACACACAATACCTTCATTCCATAATGAGCTGTTTCCATACAATTAACATACTCACAGCATCACCACACTGGAACTGGTTCAGACCAGTCTTAACCTGCCGGCATAGAATTTGTCGGGTACATACTCTTAAAATTGTGATCCTTATGATGTCATTCACCAAACTTTCTGAGTAGAGATTGTATGTGCACATATATATTTGTAATAATAAAATTCCATAGTCAAGAATACACTTAAAATTCTAACTGTATGTTCTTTTCATTTTTAATGGCGACGTTCTCTTATTTGAAAGTACGTGGAATTAAATCCACAGCCCCGTAGTCAAGTTGTTTTTCCCGCCTTTTCTACACGTACAGTTATAGAATGTTCTGGAAATATTTAAAGCGAACTGGAATTGGCTGACGAGGCTGACGTCATTTCTTGGAAGCTCCGCCTTTCCAGAGGCTATAAAAGGACTCGCAAAGGAATATCGGGGCTTTTTTTTTAATGCAACGATGCAGTAAACTTCATACAAAAAGTTATTAGTAATTCTTTTTATTTACTCCGGATATCTGATTTTGTAACTGCTATTTCTCCTGAATAATAATAAATAGATCCTGTTTTTTAAATTTATCGTCTGATAATTTAAGCTACGACTACATTTATGATTCTTCACCAATCTACTTATTCCGGACAAAAGCTGGTACATCACAAGGAGTCGGCAGGATAGGTGTACCAAAAGGTCCAATGGAAGAGAAAACGTTTTAAGTGCAAGATGTGTCTGTTTTTTTACAACTGAAGAATTGTGATACAGCTTTGTCTTTGCATTTTGAGCGTGTCTTATAGTTAGAACCGCATGATTTGGATATAGTCTGCTGGAAAGAAGTGAAGAATTTCAATCATTTATGCTGTTTTTTTTTTTTTTTTTTTTTTTTTTTTTTTTAACAGCACACAAACGAGCAGGATTAAATAGTGTACTCAACAGCCAAGTAAGAACAGATTTTAAGAAATTATTTTTTCTCAGTGTGTGAACTAAGTTGCTACGACAGTAGTTCGGTTTAAATATATTATGTTAAAGTAATTACGGATTTATTTAAATTTCAAGTCTTATTCTAATTAATAGTATTCTAAGTAAGATTTGATATTATCCTGAAATGTGTAGTGATAATCATAAAATTTGAGAATACAAAATTTTTATTTAAGTCTATTATTCTATGAAGTGTTGATAATACTCTGAAGAGTTTTTGGTTTTAAAAAAAATATTTTAACTATTGTAAAAATATTTTGAGAAAAGTGCACATTTTTTGTTCTCAAGAAAATTTTAAAGTTTCAGTTACAATGTCGACAAATCAGGAACCCGTTAATCTTGACGATTCACTGAACGTGAATCAAGATACAATAGATTTAAATATTATTCCATTTGAAGATTCTAAGGACAGTGACATAATTTCTTGGTTAGGTTATTTTAACAAAGTCTGCCAAAATAAGGACGAAAATTGGAAACTTCAAAATATTTCTCGTTACATTAAGGGAAAAGCCCTCTGGCTCTATATTAAAAATTGCCATGAGCTAAAAACTTACTCAGAATTTGAACAAATATTAAAAGAAAACTTTATCGATCCCACCTTAACTACTTTCGGCGACTTCGCTAATTTAAAATATAACGCCAGAGAAGACATCACAAATTACTTTCGAAAGAAAATTGAAGTGGGTAAGCGGCTTAATTTGGATAAATCAATGATTTTAGAAGGTTTGACAGATGGTTTGCCAACGAACTTAAAGTCTTTGATGATTGTTCAAAGTCCCGCTGATCCGATAACTTGGCTAGAACAAGCCCACAAACTTCGACAAATTCATGAATTTAAAGATGAAAATTCACAAAATTATAACAGAGATAGGAATAGTCAACAATTCAGACAAGCTAATTTCCGAAATAATAATCGTCAGTTTGTTGATAATCGACCCAATGCATCTAATTACAAACCTCATAGTTTTCAACAAATTGGAAATAAATCTAACAGCAATATCAACAACGGAAAGAAAGTTGTAAGTCACCATACTAATAGTAATTTTGACGGTATAGCCCCATCACCTTGTAGAATATGTACCAAAAAAGGGATACCAAATTGTTATCACTGGGCTCAAATCTGCCCATTCCGAAATGAGAACAACGAAACTGAAACTAATTCTAATGTGGAAAACAAAAATTCGGGGTCTGATTCTTCGGGAATTTGACAACTAAGAATTAAGGGA